CTACATGGGCGGGGGAAAATTGCCCATACATTTTTCTTTTTCTATTATTATCGTACAGCTTCTGTTTAAACAGTGACTGGGCCACTTCGTTACTAGAGGGCCGTTATTAACAAACAATCCTTTGCAATTAGTGTCTGCCCTTCCCTCAGAGCGACGTCGCCCTCTCGCCGCTGTCTGGCTGATTGAAACATTGATCAGTTATTTTGATTCACACAAATATAACTGACTGGCTGAGGGGATGGGGCAGATTTGGACTATGTAGTAATGAAAGCACTTTGAAATATTTTTTTTTCAGTGCTCAAAAACATGAACTCTGCCTCATTTAGAGTATTAAGCACAATTGCATGTCCAGATTGTTGTATAATATGCTACGGTTATAAATCATTTTGAAACTAAAACAATTTTTATTCACTACGATTGACAAGGCGAGAATGTAATACGTGTTCTGTTACATGGGTTTACATGCTTCAATTGTTGCGGAGTGTATTGTCATAAGAAGGGTCAAATAAGTGAAACAGGTGTCCGATTGGAAGAATACACAAACATATTACTATTATTGTCACTATCGCATTGTAATCATTACATATTTTTTAAGTGATCGGCCGAAGTTGGTCCTAGAGATCAGTTGGCCGACTAACTGATCAAATGACCAACAGGTAAAGGTAAAAGGTAAAGTTGTCCCTATGCTTTACTAATTAAGCACTACGCTATGAAGGCGTATGGGGGAGTGGATGTATAGATTCAAATTTTCTTGACCTCGTCACTAGCGGGAGGTGAGTGGTCAGCTTCACGCCCCTGCCACTTTACCCCCAGGGAGGGGAATAGGAGGCTGTGTGGACCCCAAGACCTGTCTGGACGCCGTGGAGAAGAGAAAATTCTTGCTCCCACATGGACTCGAACTCCGACCCCTTGGTCGCCCAGCCCGTAGGCAGTCGCTATACAGACTGAGCTACCCCGGCTCTTTGATCAAATGACGAACAAAAATTGATTAATCTACCGAACTTATGAATAACTGACCATCTGACTAACTGATCGATTGGCCAAGTCAGTGAGTAAAGCGACCAATGAGCCACCTACCTAAGTAATCATTTCCCTGGATCGGGGAAACCCCCTACGCCGGGCACTGGAACCAAGTACCTTCTCAATAAGAACGGAGTGGTTACGGCTAAGCTAGCCTGGAGGTGAATCTTTATTACTGTACGACTGAACTGCGAGAAATATAAATTTTGCCCGGTTTAATTATCAATAATGAACTGATTTACATTTATGTGTAGCGTTTTAGTAATTGAGGTCCATGCAGTATATTCATATTTGTTTTCCTTCTGCTATTCTTTTGTTTTTTTAGGGTAAATAACTTATTTGTGTGTGGCCGACCATATTGTTTAGTTTGCACAATGTACTGCTAGTTCAAATAATTATGGAACCGGCTTCTATTTGTTGTGTGAACATGCAGAAACGCTCCAGACACAACGTAAACATTCCGGCCATTTTTATAATCTGCTGCGTGCTGCGTTTCATGCGGATGTCTGCTGAATAATGAATCAGCTTTCTCTGGCTTCTCAGTAACCGTTTAAAAAAACATTAGTCATGCCTCAGTTCATTTTAAACACCGCACTTTTTTAAAAGTGTAATTAGTTTTTGTTTATTTTTGGTCTACTGTTGGCCACTTTCCTTACGAAGCCACTCTGAAAATTTCACATCTTACACACCTACGAACTTGTAAACAAAATATGTAAAAACAGGTAAAGATGGCCCTGTAATAAGCTGTGGAGCCCCATAGGGTTATGAAAGGTCGAGGCTCCCACATTTTGTATTGACAGTCGGCTCGCAGATGGCGGTGAGGTTGTCAGTCTTACGCGCCGGCCGCCCTTTACCCCCCAAGAAGATTCCTGATACTCATTTCTGTTAGAGACTGAGTCGACCTCAGGGCCACAGCGCGGCTGGAAGGATTAGGTCAATTGAAAAAATCCAATTAATTAATTTATTTTTGGAAATATTTACAACTATTGAATTCACAAAAGTAATTGAATAATTATTAAAATATAACTTTCTCTTACTCCTGTATGCTTATGAAGGGTGAACATACCCGTAAATTCTTCCGAAAAAGTTTTTTTATCTTGGTATAATAATGGGCGGCTCTATACTAGTACGTTCTGTGAATTGTTAGAATTATTGATTCGCGTCTTCCTTACATTAATCCGCCTCTAGAAGTAATTGGTAAATATACCCAACTCTCTTGTTTATGAAGGCATACAACAGAAGTGTTAAATAACAGAGATTTTGGTAGGAATGACATTTATATGAACTGTGATCGAATTACCGTAGGCTTCCGCACTTAATACAGTGTTTACCAAAATAATTGGAGCGGTTTCAAGAGGCCATAACGGCTTTGCTAATACACGCAGAAGTATGTTTCCCACATGGAACGAAACAACAGTGGTTTTAGTTTTGATCGCATGCGCAGTCTCCCTCCCCCCTCTCGCTATCGTTCCGTGACGTTACACAGAGAAAATGGCGACTCCGAGGCAGAAAGCGTTTCGTTTGCTGCAATTTGCGAAGCATGAATCAGTTCGTTCTCTTCAGCGGGCTTTCCGGCGACAATTTCAGAGTGATCTCCCCTCTGCCAAGAGCATTAGGCGTTGGTGTTAGCAGTGCCAGACAACAGGGTTTCTTTGTAAAGGGAAAAGTGCAGGATGCCCGCGTGTGTCAGAAGAAAGTATGGAACGACACAGTTTCTTTTCCACAGTCCGAAAAAAATCAGTGCGCCATGCGAGTCGTGGAGATGTCGACTGTACGGAGGCTGGAAATGAAGTCCTATCGTCTTCACTTGGTGCAGTTTCTTCGTTTTTGTACACGGTGTACCTTTTGACACTTCAATTTATCATTAATTTTCTTGAGCTTAAACAGGTGTTGCGGAATCAAGAACCGGACACGAATTTGTAGGGAGAAGTATCTTTGTGACGCTATGAACAACTGATTTATGCCTGATGTTTGCGTTTCCTCTCCTGTTAAAAATGGAAAACCAGTGCACTTATTTTGAAACGCCTTACAGTTTGCAGTAACGATATAATTGTATGTCGGTATTTACGGCAAAGCTAAGCGGGCAGCGCAGTTCCATTGTCTTGTAAGAAAACAAAAAGCGTACAATAAATCCCACCACGACGAAACACGGAGTCTGTGTAGTGAGCAGACTGCGAAAGGGAAGTTAAAATACTCTTGAACCTTGCTTTTTTTTCGCCTCGTATCTTAGTGTAGATCAGAATTATGAATTCGGTGTATTCCAAAGTGTCTGTG